GGGGCACAGACGTCTCTGATTTCTTTATAAAAGGAACAAGTTTACCTCTTAACATCTGCCAGGTCATTGGTAACACACCCAAGGTTTGAGCAAACTGCTGCCTCAGCTTTAAATGATAGTGGTGGTTGGGTTAGTCAGTGAGGTGAGGTTTAGGTTTAGGCTTCCACCTTAAAACAATTTGAAGTAACGAGTGAACCCAGGAACCCAAACTGAAGATCCAAACATATCAAAGTACATATTTACTCCCCCTTTACAGAGAAATTTAGCCTGTTGGGAAGAAATAAAAATTTGGAATATTTACAGATTTACAAGCGGTTCTGGGATTTCCCTCGTTTTTCTCTTCCAGCTGTACTGCAGCTCTTCAATCGGCCACATGATGGAAGTAAACGAATGCGAATAGGAGATACAAACCCAGAAAATAGCAGAGTGCTACAAACACCAGCTGCTTCTTTTAAATGCAATCTAATCAAAAATATGATGATCGGGATTATTTAATAAAGGCTCGCAGTGCAGGACAGCAGCGCGAGGAAACACCTGTTGTTCCAGTGGCGGGTTGTTACCTGCTCAGGTGACAGTGGGTGAACCGCAGCGCGATCAAGCTCTGGCTCTCCGACGTCAAGTCCCTGCAGCTCGCGTCCAGGTGCTCCAGAGCTCGCGCCCAACACTCTCCGTACCGGGACTGAGCCGCGAGGGTGCGCACGCGCCGCAGCTCCACCCTGCCGCGCTCAGAATCCGGAGCCGAGGAGGAAGAGGAGTGTCCGGGACCGGCGGAGAGTCCGAGCAGAACCGAACCACTCAGCAGCAGCAGCACCATGTCAGCACGAGCTGCCATCCTCACCTGTCTGCAGGTCAACCGTCAGCCAATAAGAGAGCGGGGTTTCAACCCGCACGGAGGTTAACGGGAGGTCACGAGATGTGAGTTTTCTGCTCAGTTTACCTTTTATCCATTAATCCAAACAGACGAAGCTCTTTTATTTATTTTGAGTACACTTTGTGAGAGTTTGTGTTGTTGGTACACAACTTAACTTTAACAATGAGACTTTTTTACTCTGAAACTCACAACACCATCACGTCATCATGGTTAGATTTTAAGCCTCAACCTGAAAGCATTGGACTATTGTTATCACCCCTCTGGCCTGGTGGTGTGGACATCCAACTGCGTGAAGCAGAAATATTGTCCTTAAGGCAGGGGCGTGTGCCGTGGGACGGGTTGGGGACCGAGAATAGGAAAAACGCCGCTCCCTCCACAGGAATTCAGAATATTTGATAAAAAAATTCCCATCTGGGAAGCAAAACTCTATCATGTTGGACAAGTTTGCAATCGTTTCTGTGTTTGGCGTCTTCCAAGGTAAACTGGTTCGGTGTGTGGTTCAAAAGACCCTCTATGAAGAAAAAGCTGGACCACTTCACCCTGCTCGGTTAGGGTTACCGAGGACCCCCCCCCAAAAAATTACTGATTAATTGATGTCTATATTACTTTAATGTTGTAGCTGAAATAATAATAATAATAATACGTTTTATTTAAAGTCACCTTTCAAAACACCCAAGGACACTGCACAGAGCAAATAAGACGGGCATAAAAACAGGAAATAAACACATTAATAAAAGAAAGTTTAAGAGCATGGAGAAGTTATATAGCGTAGGCATCTTGAACAGGTGGGTTTTGAGGGTGGACTTAAAAAGAGGGAATGAAGTGATGTTTCCGAGGTCAGGGGGCAGAGTGACTAAAAGCCCTGCCCCCCCATGGTAGTAAGACGAGAAGAAGGAACAGAAAGAAGACAAGACGAGGAGGATCTGAGGCACCGGGATGGGATGGAGATCTGTACCAAATCAGAAAGGTATGGTGTGGAGAGAGAATGATTGGCTTTAAATGTATAAATAAGTATTTTAAAATTAATGTGAAGTTTAACTGGGAGCCACAGGGGGGTAGGGGTGATGTGGTGGTAGAGGGAGTCCTAGTAATAATACGGGCAGCAGAGTTATGGACACGTTGGAGCTTATTGATGGATTTTTGTGGCAGGCCAAATAAGAGTGAGTTACATGGACGAGAATGACAGCGGCATGCTGAGCGAGGAAGGAGCGGAGGCGATTGATGTAAGAGAGTTGCAAATATGCTGAGCGAGTGACATCATTGATGTGCGAGTCAAAGGATAATGTACTGTCAGGAATGACGCCAAACTTTTCACAGAGGGACAGATTGAAACTGACGAGTTATTGATAGTAACAGCAAAACAGTTGGATAGCGATAATTTGGAGTCAACCAGGAGAAGTTCTGATTTGTGACTACTTTGAGTAAAATGAAATGATTTGATTATTCACACTGCTCTGTAGCTTTATGTATAATATTACTGCACCATAGATAGAGATTATTATTATATTTTATTATCTCCAATATCTACAAAATAAAAATAAATGGTACGGCGCATGAGGAGCTGTGCTGTCGCGGCAGCGTTTGCTTGGTACGTTCTCTCAAGGTCAGTCTGATGGTGATTTAAACTTATTAAGAGCCATGAGTCCCGTCCAGGTTCAGCCCAAAAGAGTCCCATTGGGACGTGACCACTGTGCCACTGACCCCATTCTGGCTACGCCCCTGCTTACAGTTTGTGTTCAAACTCATGTTTTTGCTCTTGGACTCTACTAGAGCAGCTTTTCATGATCCAAAGTTTTAAAAAGGTCCTTATTTATGTTTATTTTCTGTGCTGTGATGCAGTAAATTGGTCTCCTCCCCCTTTAAGATAACTTTACTCTGTTTGGCTGCCACTCACAAACAGAAGGTCTGCACAGCAGGTGGGTGGGGCTTCTGGGATCTCTTTGACATCATCTATACAAGAATAGGAAAAAAAAACTGTGTTTAGAGCAGTCTGAAGGTTACTTGTAAATACACTGATCTCGTTCTTTTAAATTTTGGTCACGAGTAATGTCGACGTCCAGCATCGCAATAATAAGAAGGAACCTGAGAGTCATAAGTAACTGGACGTGAAGTTACATGTTTATTGGGGAGCTGTGAGCTATTAGAGCTCAATCCTCAGAGAGCGTCACTCAGTATCACGAGGACAGAAGAGGGCAATCATGACTCAAGCATGACTCCGGTGACGGAGGAAGTCCCCAGATGACGAAAAGCCAGAACATCACAGAAATTAGGGAAAGTCCAAGATTGCAAAATCGCTGCACATGCCCAGGCAAGCTTACTCAAAGTAGTCAGAAAATGATGTGGTTGATGCTCACTTACGCACTATTTTACTGTTTGCTGACTGAGCTGGGGACATTTAAAAACAAACAAGACAGAAAGAACGAGAGTTAAACCAGTCGCTCTAATCTCGAAATGAAAACACCTACAGTAGTTAAACTGAAATCACACCTCAGATATTTAAAGGTTAATTTTCTGTATAAGTATTAATTACATGCTTCCGGAGTTTTATTCGAACCCTTGTAGTTTTATAAGCATATTTTATACTTCTTTAAAGTAACTAAAAACTTTTAATGAACTCGAATCTCGGCTGTCTTTATCTCAGGTCACTCCTTTGTATGACAGTGAAGCTGTTTTTGATTTAGACGGCCCTCAATCGACACAGGTCAAAGGTCAGATGGCAGAGGAGATCTTGCTCTTTACGCTGAAAAAGCCCTGAACTTTGTCTCTCAGGTTGCACAGTGTGACATCACAGACTGTGCAAATAGCCGAATCTAACGAGGCGAGATGTCAGCAGGTGGTCTGAATCCGGGCTCGCAGCTCTGCTCGGTCACTCTTACCTTCCAGGTGAAGACGGCGACGTCTCGAACATCAGAAGCTCGTCTTCACTACAAACATAGACTGCTCCACACGTGGCTCCTTTTAGCTGCTGCTGTGCAGCAATAAAATTAAATGTTTAGGTTTATGTTCTATAATCTAACGGTCCAAGTGTTTGTTTTACACAGCTGTGAAGGCGTCGTTAATGCTGAATGACATGTAAAAGTTTCAGAGCAGGGGGGTCAAAAATACAGCCGAAGAGCCGGCTGAAGGAAGCGTTGAGTTGCAGGTTGCTCCAACCCAGGACTCTGAATTATTGCTACTTTCACAGCCTTTTGTTTTGTGGTTGTCCTCATCGGGCTTTTTAATCACGTTTTGTAAATACATGGTTAATTAATTTTTAAAAACGTACTTCTTTAAACTGAAATACATAAATAAATGTTTTTTAAATAGCTTATTGAGCAGCTTTATTACTAGTGTAGTGGAAGTAGTTTGGGTGCTTTGCAGCGTTATGAAGCAAACAGTACAAGAAAGGAGGTCCTTCACTGGTGAGCAGCTAAAACCCAAAATCGAGCAAGAAGATTGTTGCAACACAAGGTGAAGGCATCAAATTCAAAATAAGCTGTTACCAGATTTCTCAGGTTTAACATGTGATATGTCCTGTATGTGCTCTTTGGAGTGATAGGATAATCGACACTCCTGCAAGAGCCACTGTGAAGATGAGGATGTTTCAGCCATTGGCTCCTCGTCCTCTGACTCTGAGGTGTTTGTGTGAAAAAGAGAAGCTCAGGCAGTCAAAGAGACGACACAGATCAGGGGACAACAAACGCTTTTAGTTAGAAAGAAAAATAAGAAAACAGGTAAAAACTAGTTTGTCTACAGCGACAGTGTATTGGAGTTTCCACTGAATTCCAACCAGAATAAAAGCAGAATATTCATCCTCAATATTAGCAACTATGAAGTCACCACACACATCACTACTAATCTAGAAACACAACATGGCTTGGCTGACATGGTGGCTTCTGGCAAGACGCACAATATTATAGGCACTAAACTCTGGAACATGCAATATGGTGGCTGGTTACTGTAGTTTGTGCCGGGTCGAGTCCTGTGGAGTGAGTCCGATTACAGCGGGACGTTTGTTTTCTGCAGCAGCGTGAAGCAAACGGGTTCGCTGCTCTGGGCAGACTGGGTGGCGCCACCTACGCAGAGGCTTCGTCACAGCGCGAGGACTTTACAGAGCGAGGCACGTTTATTTTGTCCAGGACGAAGACATTCAGATTCCCAAAGAGAAAGGGTTATGAGAGAAATTGGGCTTCCTGACGGGATGTTTCAGGATGATCTAAAAAAACGAAGATACTTTATAATTCTCACGGTTTTAATTACTCTTTTAGTTCACATAAGTTTGTTTTCTGTTCTCTTCAGCTTGTTTTATTTATATTTTCATGAATAAATGTATTTTTAGAACCAATAACGACGCACACCATCCTGTTAATGGGTTAACACCTCGATTCCACTTTAAAGGTACTTTTTGTAGTTACCCTTTGCATAATTTAACTCAGGCTTGCACCACCAGGGGGCAGTGTTTTGACAGTGAGTGTGCTCTAAGATGCTTTTCTGTTTAACTTCTTCTAGTCTAATAAAATTTATATTGAATTTTTAAATATAACCTCATGAAATCCAAAATAGGGTTAACGGTTCTTTTTGGAGTTACCGTTTAAAAATGTTATGAAACCTTTCATCACCAGGCAGGCAGCGTCTTACCGGTGAGATGCTTTCACAACCATAGTATATTTGTTTACACATTGATCTTCTAAGCAAAAGATCCTTGGTTTGATTCGAGGAAGAGACACAAATCCCTTTGGGGTTGTGTCAGGAAGGTAAAACAGGCAGAGATAACTGCTGTGAATGAAGGAGTAGCTTATTTATGCGTTTTAACATTCAATTCTTTTTAGCTGCTTCTTTTTTTTAAGGATGCTTTGCCCTTTTCTAGGCCACCTGTGTTAAGCAAATATGTTTCAATAACTTGCGTACTTACAGAAAAAAAAAACGCTACATTGCTGCACAATCTTGTGACATTACTCAAAAATACCACCTGTTCTTTACTTCAGTTGGTATCTCTTCATCCAAGTATAAAAGACTTTGGAAAC